TGCCTATCAGATCTAACAGTCGGTCAGGTGTCTCCAAACTGTTGATTAATAAACATGAAGCTGCAACCTAATTACTATGATAATCTGTGGTTTGGTGACAATTTATTTCAGCTGTAACGCTGGTTATCTGCGTTACCTGTTGGACAGAAGAGAAAGGTGTGTGGCGCCTGCAGGTGCTGGAACACCTGGTTGGTGACGGCCACCTGCGCGTCAGCGAAGGAGCTGAAGGCCTCTTTATCAGCACCACACATTTCTGTCTCGATGTCATCAAAGAGCAGGGCAAAGGATCTGCACCCAAACTCGCTCACCTGCCCCAGCGTGCAAGACACAGACACTCGCCTCCATCAGACACGGCTCAGAGGCAAATATGCAATAAACACTCATAAGCTGATTTGTTCTGATACATCTTGAGGAAATAGCATGCATAAATAATTTTTTTAAAAAAGGTTCTATATAGCACTAGAACACGGAGAACCATTTAAGCACAAATGGAGCATTTCACATCAGACCATTCTGAATGACTTCATTTACATCTTAATGATTTAATTTTAACTAATTGGTGGACTTTCCCTTTTATATGCAGCAATATATTACATGCCTACTGTAAGTGAATGAAAATGTATTGCGCACTTACTGATTGCTGTTTACTGTCAATCATAAAAACATCTGAGTGATGCAATGAAATCCAGTTAAAGTAATGGTTCATACATTAATGCTAACGTTGCTAACTGTGAATAGCATTATGGACAGGGCGTCATGCTAATCGGTGGCTTAAACCTTCTATTCACTGTCAGCAACATTAGCATGAATGGCTAAGCTATTCTTTTAATTACTGACAGGAGCAAGGAAGTCTGAAAAGGTGTAAAATTACCTGGCTGAGCTTCCTCTTGAGAGCCGCCACCTCTTTGGGGTTAGAGAATGTAATATCTAATCCAGGTGAGATGGCATAAACGAACTCGATATCTTTCTCTTTCGCAGCAGAGATGAGGGTAATCAGTTGCTCTTCAAAGACAAAAATGGAAACCAACGAGTTTATATTTCACCTCAGAAGCTATAATCTGTATTACCCGTCTTCACAAATTTTAATATGCACAAAAGCTGATATAAACAATGTCACTAACATCCACAGCAGTTTTAAATGCAATTATGCTATATAATAACCTTAACTAAAGCTTTCACATCACATGTAATATATACCAAGTTGACAGTTTATTCAGTACACGTATCTTGTATCTACACTCATTGGCCACTTTAACACAACCTAGGTGCTCTTTGTAGGTTTACAAATACTGACCATAGCCCATCAGTTGCTGCCTGACCTTTTACCTTGATCACTAATAAAGAGTTAGAGGAAAGCTAATATTAAATGATGACCTACAGTATCTGTGTGAAATTACAGTAATGTGCGAGTATCAGATACAACCCTTCACATATTTAATTTCCAGACAAAAGGCCCTTAAGGAAAAGTTACACGTTTTTCAGAATCACACGTTTTTGCTTTATAGAAAATGACACAGAAGCCTCAACAACTAAACAATTAACAAAATAATGACCAAATTTCTTAAGTGTTTAGTGTCCACACTGAGTTTATTAAAGCTTCGGCTTTTCAGTAGACTTGCTTTCAGTTTTTCAAAGAAGCAAGGATATTCTCCCCCATCTCCAAAGTTCAGTCTTAGAAGTTGGTTGCATTTTCTGCCTCTTATAATCCAAGTAATTCCAACCACAGAGGGGTTTTAGGAGTTCCATTTTCTCTATAGCTTTCAATTTTTTTTAACCCCAGTTGTGGAAACTCTTCCCACTTTTACCTTTGACATCCTCCTTCCTTATGCAAGTGGTTATTTTACATCTAATCTCTTTAGAAATATCTCTTTTAAAATGAATAACTTGTACTTAATGGCTGTTTGGCTGGAAATTAAATAAATGAAAGGACATAATCTGACTTTTGCATAGTACTTTTCAAGGTGAACCAACAAGGCAGGGGCGTCTAATAAAGTGAACAGCTGGTGCATACAGTGTTAAAAACTCCAGCAACACCTCTGAGCCTTAACTACTCACATCAGCGTGACGCAAACTACCATGTTGGTGTAGCATGAGCCCCCACCAGAACAATGTCTGGCTATCTGCAGTCCTTTTGCAATGATGGATGAGGTTGAGCTCGACTCGAAATTGTGCAGCAACAGATAAAAAGTCAAATGGCAAACTTACAGAGTGCACTGACAGGACAGATGTTTCTGATAAAATGGCCAATGAGTGTAGGTACAAGCTGGGTGCACCAAATAAACCAGCAAGTGTATATTCTTAAATGCCTGGTTTGAGTTAAAACGTTGAATATTCTCACCTGCCTCCTCTGAAGTGTAGAGCTCTCTCCAGTATGTCCTGTGTTTGTAGTCATCTTTTGGGGCATACAGGTAAGTGTTCAAGCCCCATTTCTGCTCCCTGGGTTCATAAAACACACCACAGGTCCAGTGAAGAAATAGTGACATGCATAGACCAATGATGACCGGTTGTCAAAGCAAATAAAACGTTTACTACCTTCTAAACAGCTCCTTCCTTTGCTCCATAGTCCACGGCCGTCCATAAAACCCTAGAAGACAAAGGTCAGTGCATAATCAGCTCTTAATGGATCCATTGAGAACATGGGTGCTTCCATTAATGTGATACTAAACTCATTTTACACATCATAAAAAACACATGTATTAAAGAAATAGCTGCCAACCTTTATGAGTGTATAAAATGTATTAAACAGCAATATAGTAAAGCCTATGCTTTTAAAAAAGATGGTTCCTTAAGGGTTCTTTAGTAAAGGGAACTGTTCTATTTAGAACAATGAGTTCTATACAGAACCATTTTATGCTTAAATGGTTCTTTGAATGGTTAAATTGTTCTTCAGACTGATGGAGAATGCGTTGTACATGGCTTTCAGAAAATGGTTCTATATAGCACCAAAAAGGGTTCTGCTACTGTTACCATGTCAACAGAAAAACGCTTTTTGGTGTTACATAGAACCATTTTCAAAAAGGTTCTACACAGAACCATAAACAACCATATATTCTCCATCTATCTGAAGAACCATTTCACCATGCAAAGAACGATTTAGGCATGAAATGATTCTCTATAGCACCACTGCCTTTACTAAAGAACCCTTGAAGAACCATCTTTTCTAAGAGTGTAAGGCTGCACATGTTGCACGGATTTTCCAGCCTCAACCCACCTTCTACAACACCGCTCAGAAAGGTCTTGGAGCTGGTGGTCGTCTCTGACATCTCTCCTTTTCTCTGGGTCGCTTCTTGAGGCAGAACAGTTTGCAGGAGTTGAGTTAGCTAGGCTAACTAACACAGAGAGCAGACAGGGCTGCGAGCCTGAAGCAGCCTGAATGGCAGTAGTAAGTCAGGTCCTGATTAACGACACACTTTCCTATTTAGTAGCTGTTTGTACTAAAAGCCAAAGTCAGTTAGTGGCAATAACTAAACCGAGCAATGACCGAGTAACTGGACCCTTATCGCTGAACACGCATCTCTCTCTGTCCGTCCTGCTCTTTTAATCCACCTTGTTCCTTCTTGCACTTTGTGTTTACACCTAGTGCGCAGGCGCAAAGCTGTCACTGTGCAACAAACCCCGCCCGCTGTGTCTACTACGCATGCGCTGAAGCGGGCTGCAACCCAAATCGTTGAATCCTGCTGTACATGATAAACAAAAAAGCCCTCTAGCTTTAAAGAGAAAAGTATCCGGAAGCAAAATGTATAAATTACATGTCAAATCGTTAGTAGTCTGTTTTTTTTTTTTAGTACAGCCCTAAAATATTCAATTTTAAAATGACATTAAGGTTTCTGTAAATGTATGTCCACTTCATTTTAACAAAATATGACAAAAAATACCTCATGACTTTTCTTTTACAAGTTAATATAAATGCATACATCACTATGACAGATTTGAAAAATGTGAAAACCGATCACATTTCTGGGGCAATAAATTCCAAAATATAAAATCCAGATGAAATTTCTTAATTAATTAGACCACACCCATTCAGTAAATCTGTCAAGATTAAATTTGGCCCCATCATTTGATCAGGAAGGAAAAATAAGTGTGCGGTATTAATAGGGAGTTAGTGGTCATAAAAGTGTAAGTGAAACCAGAAAGGGTGGAACTGTTGCACTTTTGACAGCTTGCAGGAAGTTAATGAGAAGTCCAAAGTTTAGGTCCCAGGGCTGACTGGCTATTGTGTTTAAGTCCCACATTTTTCCTGTATCAAGTAATCTGGGAAATCATGCTACTGAGAAAAAATGTATTATGTTTATGCATATTTTCTACTTAAGAGAATTTAGATATTTCGTATGTTTGCATAACAGAATTGTTAAGATGTAAATAAAGTCATTCAGTGGTTTCATATGCGATTCTCCATTCTACAGAAACAAAGTCAGAGTTGTTCACAGTGGTGGTGATGGGAACCAGACTTCTGAAGAATTAATGCTCCTAAAACTCACTCAGAAAGTTTTAACATGAAATGTTCATTACTACACTGGCTGATGCCTGAGACACTGCATACAGACAGCTGCATTCAAAAATAAGCTTTTGGCCTGAAATAATTTTTCAAAATCCATTCATGGCAGAGAGGTACATGCAGGGCATTAAGAAAAACAGTACATAAAACTTCACAAGATCTTTTTTTACTGGTCACTTCAGATGATAAATAAAATGTCTGTATCTGTGTTGTAGACATCGCGACTCCTGGTTTCTATCACCACCACCGCAAAGAAATGAGAGTCAGCAAGTTTCACTACAATAGACCTTTTCACATCAAAACAGTCTCAATGACTTTGTTTACATCTCAATGATTGAATTAGGCAGAAAATTTTTAAAAATGAGTGGAATTCCCCTTTAAGCAATTTCACATCACAGAAACTCACTCCGCTGTCTACAACTCACTATGGGGTAAAAATACCAGAAAAATGGATTTTGTAATATGTCTCCGCAGACCTAATGAGCACTCCTCTTAAAAACAATCAAGTTCAAGCATGAACATTTTTAATTCAAGTTGGAAAAGCACTTTCATTCCAAATGTTTTCCAAATTATTACATACAAATATCAGGTATTATGTTTCAAACAAAATTCAAATACAGACAATATTTCAATTATGATAGTAATTTTTTTTATCTTTAATGCTTTTCTATTTTTATACACTTCAAACTTTTTTTTCATCTCTATTAAAGGCTCACTTCAACAGAAGGTTTGTTAACTTTAAAATCAAAAAATGAAAGCTACATAAAAGCAAAATTTAGTGCCAATAAGTGCAAGCTCTTTGGGAGATCTGAGGTAGTGCTGGTCTCTTTCCATCACACTCCACACTTATTTCTTCTCCTTCTCTCCATCCCTTCATCCTCCAGAGGGACCCACAGGGCTACCTCTTTACCCCTCGCTGGGCCTGCTTCAGCAGCGTGTCAAAGTCAAGTGAATCATAATTCTTCTTTACTGAGGTTGAGTCAACATCACGATTTGCATCTGTAGGACAAGAGTGTCAATCAGTCAGAATTCCAGTATGAGGATCAACATGTATAAGACTGACATTCAGTGATAAACCCAAAACAAACCACTGTGAGCCAAAATAAAAACATCAAATTGGTACTATGGAATAACTATAGTATTACTTGGCCATGGTTTTTTTAAGAGTAAAAGTGTGAAAAATCTATTTTTGAAACTGTATACAAACCTAAATCCGCATAATTTGACTGACAGAATTGTCTTCTCCCACCAAAGCAGATGTCAAAGGGGAGCTCGTCTGGCTGCCTTAGCTTCACCCCGTTCTCTATGGCAGCGAAAGCGTCGTCTGTGTTGTAATATGTAACAAATCCGTAGTTGTCCCTGAAAAAGGCAAGTGAGAGAGGAATATGTTTAGGAAGAAACAAACACCGAGTGCGTTTCCATGCACTAAATTATCCGATAACTCCAGAAAATCAGAATTGCAGAATTTGACAGAATTTGCATGTACTTGGGTAATCAGATCACGGGAAAACTCAAGGTCTACATGTGTCAGGCAGTAATGACGGGCCGTGTTACAGAAAACTTTTATCTTTCCATCTTTACTTAAGATCTGACAGGTCAAGATAAGATTTTTCACAAACTCAAGTCAAAGCATCGTTTTCAATGTAGACAGATGTAACATTATGCTGGTTATAGTGAACTATGATGCCTGACACAACATAAAACGATAGAAACAGGTTAAAACAGTAGTTAAGACAGCTCTGGGGTTGTCTTGGAGTTATGACAGTGTTTCGGAAATGCTGTCTAGTTAGGATGTTTGTGTAATACTGTTCTCTTATCTGCAGTTAATACATAAAACCATGAACTTACGAACTGTTGTCCTGTAATAGCTTCTATCTTAAATTCAGTCCTAACAGAAGTTGTCACGTTGATAAAGCAGACAAGATTTCAGACTTAGAAGTTTCTGTAATACGGCCTCTGATTACTGCTTTGCAACTGGCCAATAAACTCACAGAATAAAACATGACGTATATATAATGTAAAACTCAAACGTCATGCCGCAGCGGATTTTTTAAAAATATCAAGTTACTTTAGCAGAAAATATTATTATACATCATCCAGAAGATGAAAAGCATTTAAAATTTCATTTTGTCAAGCATGTAACTGGTTTCAGTGCCGCTCCAAGTGTTTTTTTTTTTTTGTTTTTGCGATCTCACAGGTGCTGTGTTAAACACTGCTTGCTATTCTTTTGCGGTCTGAGAAAACAAAGAAATCAGAGTAAGGGTATACATGCACTGAAAATCTGAGCTAAAATCCAGTTCTCTCAGAGTAATCAGCCTTAATCTGATCTAAAAAAATCGGAGTGTACTGTGGACATGACCACCTGACTAATCAGATAACTGCAGAAATACATTCATGTTTGGATTATTAAGTGTATGTAAACACTCACTGTCATTAAGAAACTACAATGATATGTGGATGCTTCTTGTAAAAGATTTACTTTTACTAAAACAGTGCAAAAACATGCACCACTGGCACAAACATTAAAGCCCCAGGAAACCTAAATCAATTTTTTTTTTTTTTTTTAATTAGGTTAGTCCTCCTCTTACAGACACATAGCATACATGCACTATGAATAACTTTCTAATGTCCATTAAGTGGCTAATGTATCTTGCCCATATTCTTCCATTTTGATGTACACTAGGAGATACTAATCTTCAGTTAAACTTGCGTAAGCAGCACCTTCACATCAAACCGCTGATGTGGATTACGTTCCACCACGGTCTCTATGGAGATCGGAGAAAATCAGCAGGCTGACGTGTGAGCTAACAACCAAGCAAAAGCTAACCTGGCACACATTACTGAGCTATCAAGCCAGCTCTTCCATCTGTCTGCCTGACACCTGTTAGTTCGTTCATCCCTGGATATACACATTCCACAGTAAGGTCAATAAAAACCTTACCTTCCTTAAAACCTATGTAAAAGCTGGATTATTTTTTTAAGTGAGAACTTTGGGAATAGTCTAAAACATGACCTGCAGATGTAAAGCTTGTTTCACTCATTTCTCTTTGCTCATGCTGTCCTGTTCAGTTCTGCTGCAGGTGTAGCAGGCTTGGAGTTTTGAACCGAGGGATGTCAAGTGTGCTCCTTAGAGTTAAGGCCACACCCATGGTAAAAAAAAAAACAAATCCTATGTCGCACTGTACTGGAAACTGATTAAATTTTTAAGCCTCAAAGTGTTGATGTTAATGTGTAAACCTTACCCATGGCTTCTGAAGTGGACAGTGCAGTCCTCAATCTTTCCAAAAAGAGCAAAACGATCCCTGAGCTCATCCTCAGTCATAGTACCACGTATTCTTCCCACATACACAACCCTGCGCTCATCCTGGAGTCACATTATTATAATGGGGAAAGAGAGAAAACATTACTCACTTGGCACTCACATGTGGCGCTTTTTAAAGGGCAGCAGGGAAAAATCTGTCAGTACTCACAATTGCTTTCTGCTTGCGAATCCTACAGGCCTCTTCCCATCGGTCTTGACGATAATGTTCTCTCTGTCTGCAAGTTCACAATAACACAGTCATTAAAAAGTAAACATCCCAAAAACAGACCATCAAAATCATAATTACATAAAGAAAAATCATTTATTATCTGGGTTTTAGGCTGGCTGGGGTTTTGTGTGCACGGACCTTTTCCACCGACTCCACTTATTCCTCCAGTCTGGCTGAGGGGAGAGAGAGCGGGATCTGGACCGGGAGCGAGATCTGGATCGGGAGTAGGAGCGGGAACAGGATCGGGACCGGGAGCGACTGTAGGATCTGGATGATCGAGTGTAGCGACGCTGCCTCTTGCGAATTGGAGAAGGGGACAAAGAAGAAGAACTGGATCGAGATGAGGAGCTTGCGCTGCTCTTGGAATGCCTTGATCTTCGCCTGAACAGACAAACAGAAGTTTTGGACCTACATTATTCAAAAACCTATGTCCAAATTCATTCAGCGATGAGGAGCACTTCATGAATTCATAAATCTTGACTGTTCCTTGACCGTTTACATTTATCTCTTCTTCTATATTTCGTCACAATTAATAGTCTTATGGCTTAAATATATCCCTAAAGAAAGATTTTTGCTCGTTATAGCTATATGAGTGGACAAAACAGGCCGCAATAACTTTCAATAATTCAGTAACGTTATTGTCATCATGTGAACACAGCATAAAATTTCCCATTTTTATCACACATGTCCAGTGAGAACAGCAGCTGCATATCTCTCATATACACCTTCCTAACACCATCACTGTAAACAATTCTCACCTCTTTCTGGGTGGTGAAGGAGATAATGAAGAGGAGGCTGAGGAAGAACAGGAGGAGGACCGGGAAGATGACACTGAACTTGAGTCAGAATGATGATAACTACCACGGTAGTGCCTTCTCCTTGTCCTGCCCCTAGCTGGAGGACTTGCAGAGCGGGAGGAGTGGTGAAAAGACCGTTGTGAATCTGCTTCTGCTTCTTCAACTGCACCTGCACTGCCTTCCTCTAGCCTGCAGGGGGAGCTCTCTGGAGACAAGAGAACTGAGCCAGGAAGATGTTCCTCTTCACAAAAAGTCCTGTGGTCCAGTGATTTATGGCTTGTGTGACTCCTTTGCTCTTTAAGAGATTTTTTGTGCGCATCTATGGCTGAAAATAACCTCACGCTGCGGTCTTTCATCTCCTGAGTTCCGCAGTAGTCATGGTCCCTAAACGCTAGAAACAAGCTTGGAGCAGGTACAGAGGTAGACTGTTGGGGCTTTGAGTGAACCCTGCTAGGGGGCAATGGCCGAGGTTCAATGATTTGGATGGCTTTGCTGGGAGATGGTTTGATGGCTTTGTGTTGCTTTGCCCTGTGACCAGGCGCTAGGGGCTTCCAAATTTGATGGGGAGGTGTGGCAGGAGGGGTGAGTCCTGGGGGGGAGGAAATGAGAAGTTCACTCAGAGAATTCCCTCAATCAAGATTTACAATCAAAATGTCAAGCCAAATCCTATGTAAGCATCCAATACAAAACTACAAAACATTAACTACCTCAATTTGCACTTATTTAGAGTTACTATTACATTATCCAGGATGATTAGACTGTTCAGTAAAATTCTATTCAGCAATGGACTTAATATTAAATATTCAAAAACTGCATCAATGCAATTAAACATCATAGAAATACTAACATTATACAAACTGTAACTGTTCCTATGTATTGTGAGCTGATTTTAAGCAAAAACCTCGACTATCTGGAGTTCCCTGAAGACCAGTTTGAGAACCACTGGTGCTTTGTGATTTCTGACTGTTTTGCTGCCTGCTTTGTCTGTCATTTGGACAAGAGTACACTAGAAAAGTGTATGAGTGATTTATTTATTTATTTTCGGTCACTGTAAGCCAGGGTTGCCCAAACCTTTTCAAAAGAGGCCATATGAAGAAATATGAAAATTACTAATGTATTGAACAATTAACATCTATTGAACTACTTTATTTGCTGTAAAAAGTTGCTGCTGTGAGACCAGTGAAGCTTCCAGTTCCGCTGTCCAAATATTTATTGCAATATCCAGGATTTGTAAGTCTTTTTACATGGAATTCTTTTACAGTCAAATGTGAGGTACATACATTTGCCACTGCTCTCGATGAAAAAATCATTAATTTCATTCTTTTTTTTAAAAGTTGGCAGATCTCACTGTCAACTTTTATGGCTATAGTCACAACTATATGCAATTTAAAAAATTAATTTGCAAGTCTAATCAGAGGGAAAAAAATGGTTTTTACATTTAACTATCTTCTTTAAACACTGTGTGGTGTAACACTCTGCAAGTTGACGATACTGCTTTCACCATAAAGTGAAAGAAAAAAAAAAATCGCCACACACTGGCTTATTTTTCTTAATCCTGCTGTTATCGTGATTTGCATAGTTATTCATTTTGTTCTACCTTGACAACCTCTAATTTATAAAGTTGTAATTTTAAATTTATTACAAAAACAGAGACAAAATGCACTTCTTGATTAACTTGTGCATCCTGGACAGTACAGGGAGTACAGCCATAATGGCTTTTTTAGCATGAATTTCAAAGGCTTAATACACACTCAACTCAAATATACAATAAAGAACTCTAAATAGACACATAAAGACAGATATATAGATATAAAAATTACAGTCGAGGCAGCTTGAAAAATTCATGCTATACAAACGCTATAAAAATACTGCAAATATGTAAACTACACCTTTATGCAGCAACAACGACACGGTGCACAGCAAATGGAAGCTGCTAAGTTGGCCAACTAGTGGAGTAACTGTGTTGCATACAACTAATTGCTTTTTAACAAGTTGCAGATATTAACTTGCAGGCAACTCACAAAATACAACTAGTTCCATGAAACATTCACTGTGTAAAGCAGCCTAAGAAAGAAGCTGTGGATCAATTAAAACCTGTCTATGGGCAGCATCTGGCCCTGGGGCCAGACTTTGGGCACCCCTGCTGTAAGCTCATTTAACTTCACTTTCCTCTCAAAAATATAGAAGTGAGAAGTTTTCAACCTACAATCCTATCAGTGAAATGAAGATGTACTGCAGCAGGTTTTGTCCTCATAATAGACCCCTGTGGCGACTCCTCATTTGCTCCTGGGATTGTAAAACCCGGCCTGTGTAATCACTGCCATGGCAACTTCTAATTTTTGTTGCATGAAAACGCAAAGCAATTTACCACAAAGTTATGAGCCCTGGATGCCCAGAGCCATTAAGTCATTAAAGAGGCCCTGCATGCCAGATAACTATCACTACTATCTTTACAGTTGAATGAGGGTTTAATGACTGCTTTTATGGCACTAGGAGAGAAACCTGTCTCTGGTGTGGATTAAGTCAGAAATAATTGCATCTTGCTTGAAGTACTGCTGCTCTAAAGGGAGGCAAATGTTTAAGTTGTGATACCACAGATGTGCCATATACAAAAGGCAGGGTAATTCTTTTTGATAGTGCTGGCACATTTTATGATGACTACAACAAACTACACAGGGATAATAAAGAAAATCCTACCTTGTGTCTCAAATTGCTCCAAAAGACTGGTTACATCAGTAGCTTGTATTCCTACAGGGAAACAAAAAACAAACATTTGGAGGCATTTGAGAATAAAAGACATTACTGAAATACAGACATTCCATTATAATGTAATATCAAACATCACTCATTTCACTCGCTGCCATTACCTATTTCACCTGTAGATTCCTGGCTTTGCTCCTCTGCACAGTGATCTCTGACATTTGAGGGTATCTGCAGAGGGAGTCGTCTCCGAGATGTCTGTGATAATCTGCCCGTAGTGGGTAAAGACTGAGCACAGGCATTTGTTTTAGTGGTGCCGATAATTGTTGAGGAGCACTCTGCCTGTGGTACTTCAGCAAGTGGAGAACTTCCACAAGAAAGTGTCTCTTGGTTATGAGACTCAGGCTGATTCAGATTTTCAGAAGTTTGGGATGCAGTAGATTGCAATTGAGGGTTTAAATGTGTGGGCTGGCTGTTCGCAGCAGTTTTCATAACACTTTGCTCTTCAGATGAAGATGAGGTCTTGGCAGGTATGGGAACTAGTGTTGGAAGGGGCACAATGACAGGATTTGGTGGGTCAACAGCTTGCACAGCGTTCCGCTTTGAAGGCGATTTAACAGGCATGTGAAGATTTCTTCTGGCCTTGGTTGGTGAGCCTGAAGTAGAGACTCTGGCATTAACATATGAGGTTTTGGAGTTAACCTGAGGTGGGCTGTAACCTGGTATACAAGGGATGGGAGGCAGTTCACAGGGGGGTTCAGGTACTGAGGGCCACTTGGTCCTGTAGTCCATCTTTCTCTCTTCCTTTGGAAGTGTCTTCCCTCTAAGGAGACGGTACTCCTGCAGACTGATAGATTTCGGTTTTGCATTGCTATGTTTAGAAGGTGTGCTTGTTGACGCTCCAGTGAAGTTCCTGTCTGAGGTTGCGGTTGTGAAATCACAATCTGCCGTTTTAAGCTCTTCTGGGGTTGGGGTATCTGACCAGTCACATTCAGATGCTTCATCTTCAGGCTGGTATTCATGAACTGATGCTAGATCAGGGGCAAAGCTAACTTTTTTCTTCACTCTTCCAGCACTGCCAGCTGTGGCTAACGCACTCTTGTGAGGTTTCTCATCACTGACGTCATTGTTGTTCTGTTTTGCACAACTTGAAGAGCACACCTCCTTTGACCTTGCCACTGAGATTTCCTTATCAAGACCTATCTTGGATTTAGAAACTGCAGCAGGGGTTTGTGGATGGGGAAATTCCTGCTCTGGACTAAACCCAGGCATGTTAGTGCCATGCATGTCCTCCAGCTCATCATCACCCACAACATCCACAAACACGTCCTCCTCCTGCAGCTCGCAGACATCCCTGACACTTTCTTCCTTAACCAGACCCACCCTGAGGCTGTATGGATGCATGTGCCTGACAAGATCTGCCAGTGATACAAGCACATATCCATCCTGCTGCTCATCCTGAGACAGTTCTGGGTCAGATTCAATCCTGAAGGATCTTATAGGGCGTCTTCTGGACTCAGTGAGGTCCTCCTCCTCACCATCACTTCTCTGTACGGTTGTTGTTTGGATCCTCTGGTGGAGCCTTGGCCTCAATTGCCTGTCTGAAAGCAGGACCTCTGCCTGTTCAAATACAAACACAGTAAACATAAATCTCTAACAGATCCAATATTGTTTTTTTTATTAACTACTCAGAGCTGCCCTGTTCTGAACTGCACTTGGGTTTACAAATTGCTTTGGAGTTTCACAGCTATTAGGGCAAACTTTGATCTGAAACAGCTCAAATGCGAAAACGCCCATAACCACACAGCCGCAAATACAATCCAGACGAAAAGAAGTAAGCGCAAGTTCTTACTTTTGTGTTTGATACTGATGAGCGCGAGGATCTGGTTATGCGAGGAGCTGCATCTTTGTCAGATGATCTTCTGAACTGTAAAGAAAAAAAATATTAAACAAAAACACAGCAAAACATACAAGTATTACATTACATTTTCTACATTTCAGTCTTAAAACCTTTACATACCGGATGCAATTTATTAGCACAATTTATTTGGATGACAATACACTAATTCGAGCATGTGTTTAACTGACATCTTGCAGATGAAACATGATGACAAACAGATGAACTGGCTGGAACTACATTATTTTCACAAACACTAAAAGAACAATCCCCACAAATAACTCAAACTCGAACCATTTAAAGTTTCATGAATGTAGCAACAAAGCTCTTCACACTACTTTCACGTGTCCAAAACAGACAGTAGCCTAGTGTCACTCTTTGCCAGTTCTGTGAGGAGCAAACAATATTGATTTGCACTTGAAAACATTTAGTATGTTTGTTCTGTACTGTCTCGTGTTCAAGCTGCATCTCCAAAAGCAGCTGAAACTGAGATACAGAGATTTTGTGCTCTTAAAGTGGAAAGCAACCAGCACCACAAAGCTAGTTTGCCCATTCTGTGAGAAACAAACAACCTTTTAATGGGTATTCTGCCTAACCTTTTTGCAGTGCAGACAATTTTGTGAAATCAAAAAAAACATGGCTTTGCATAGGCGTGTATGGTTTCGAAATCAATTTTCCAGCCGTTTATTCACGTCAAGTTGGCTAAGTAATTGGCTTTTACACAGAGCACTTTTGGTCTGTGAATATCTTACCTTGGAGTCGTGACTCCTTTGACTCACAAAAAGTTCAGTGTCAGGCAGTGTGTCGAAGGGTGACAAGGTGTCCTCAATCACACTGTCCAACATCTCTGAAAGCGCAGACAGCAGAGTAGCCTCACTTTCATCATCTATCCGGTTCTTCACCTGAAAAATAGGACCCAAAACTTGAAGCTCAGTTACTGACACTCGCTAACAGATAATCCATGATGCTAAAAAACAATTCTATTCACCATGAAATCTGCAAATCAGTTGTAAGTATATTAAAAATATTCATGTATTTTATTCTCTCCATTTTTGTCTCTCTCTTTTTTATTTTACACTTGTTTGTCTAATTTGAAAACTCCAACCGCCCTGTACATGGTGTAAAACTTTCATAATTAATGGACCAACAGAAATAGGCAAAAATCACTTGGAATAAACTCTCTTCAGACTGATTCTATTACACATGACACCTGTAAAGTTAACATTTTGAATACAACATTACTCAGCTCTTAAAAAAAAAATCTTCATTAATCCATTAATTACAAAATAATAAAAAAGGCATAATTGATAATATATTTCAGCTTCTGTCTACATGGACATTTCCTGTGAAACTGTTGGACATTTAGGAGACACACAGTAAAGTCACTGCTCTGAACAAAATGCGCTCTCTCTCACCTCTCCGGAGGGGGATGTGTCCTCAAAGATGGATAAAATAGAGGGCTCCAGGATGCCATGGAGGTTGTTTGAGGTACTGTCAACATCATGCCCAAAACCAGGAGTATGGCTTCTTTCAAACTCGTCCTGCAAATAAAATAGAAATAAAAGATAAATACACGCAAATATAATCACATAATTAATTTTGTCATCAAGTATGTAATGAAAACAGACTGTATAACCAAACAACAATGGCTCTAACAGGCGGAGACGGGCCTTTGAAAAATGAAGTTTATAGTTGTTACGCATTAAATTGTCAAGCTCAGTGATGAAGTGACACATTTACACTGGTACAGCTGATATCTCTGCTTCTGAACAGGCAGCCTGTGAACTCTACGTCTGCAGCACTTGGTCAGTTTATGAATATATATGCCCAGACCAAAACATACAACAGAATATTACATTTTTCATGCTGACCGCCGTAAGTTTGAAAGCACTAAACTAAATGGCCACACCCTTAAACAAATCATAACCTTGACCATATCCTTCTTTTCTGCTTGACTCTGTGTGACGCAAGAGAACTGCTCTTTCCTATGGAAGCCCATTCCCACCACTTAAAAAAAGATCCAGCCTAATTTTAATTTTAGGTAAACTGCTATGCCATTATTTTTTGGGACCAAGTCATAATTTTGAGAAACACTCGTTACTTTAAGAAGCTTTCTCATTATTTTTCAATACTCATTATTTTTGAGAAACATTCTTGTTATTTTAAGAAAGTTTATCTTTATTTTGATATGTTAATTAACTATTTTGAGATACAATTTCATTATTCTGAGATGTTCTCATTATTTCAGAAAATTTCACTACTTTAGGAAACTTTCTCCTTTTGAGATAAAAACATAAGTAAATATAATGTACATTTGAACATTAACGATCCTGCAAATAATTAAGTAGTTTTCGAAATTAATGAGAAAGCATCTCAAAATAAGAATAAAGTATCTCAAAACAAGAAAGTATCTCAAAATAACAAGAAAGTTTCTCAAAATAATGAGATAGTATCTCAAAATAATGACTTAGTATGGCAAAACAGTGGCACAGACATTCACTTAAGTATGAAAAAAAGAAAAAAGTGCTGGGCTTGTATATTTATTTATTTTATAGGACAGGAATGGGCTTCCATACTTTCCTCTAGTGACCACCACATGTCTGAATTTGAACCCCTAATGCCAAGCCCCCTCCAGCAGCCCCTCAACAGGTTGCATTCAGGAAACAAAGTAGTATTATTTCAGACTCATGAGGGAACAGGAGCCGAAGTCTGATTCAGCCTTGCCTGAAGCATCACTAAAAGCTCATTAAAACGCCACTATAATGTCTAAGATGAAGGAATTTGCTCGAATCATGACTAAATCCTCCAGCACATGCTGACCGGTGGCGACTGGACAGCTGAAATCAACTTAACAGACGGTGTAAAGGGGTGAAATGTCTACTCCGCCTTATGCCTAACTTACTTCCCATAAGCCTGGAGCAAGATGACTAAGTAAAGTGCGAAGCTGAAGTCAGCTTCCTTTTCGCCAACGTCTTGTTCGAATTTTCCCGTTCCACCTTAAATAGTCAGCAGTAACTCCTACACCATTTAAGGTGGAACGGGGAAATTCGACCAACAAGCTGACTTCAGCCTCGTCCGCTGAACTAACTACCGTTAACGTACCTCCATCCATGTATGTCTATTTACTGTCCAAACCATCACTATATCTGTCCATAAACCCACTCCGGTAATGAATTCAGCATCCACGTGTCCGGCGTGCATGGACACGTTTTTAGCTCGGCACGTCGTGCTAACGACTCCAGGCGGGCGCTAATAACGACATTATTCGAGCGTACATTAAAGAAAAGAACATATTAGTCCAACCTGAGTGTCTTGCGTCGCATCTGAGGTTGTAAATTCAGTGAAACCGGCGTTTAAATTCTTCTGTAAGTCGCCACGCGGCGCGGCCATCTTGAAACTTACCAGAAGAGCGGGAGAGAGGGGGAGAGGGAGGGGGCGCGGGTTCTGTTCCAATATGCGAACTAACTATCATTCTAACTAGAGCTCTTGGGTAGCGCGCAGAATTCTAGAACAGTAAATGGGAACCCCACCGATTTTTTTAAAAAAAGTTTCTACATAATTAAATGGTTAAGATGCGAACATATTTATTCAGAGTGGTTTGGTGTGAAAACAACTGTGATTCTAGAAAAACTTTCCAAATCACAGTTGTTCACAGTGGTGGCGATGGGAACCAAACGTCTGCAGAATTTCATGCCTATAATAGCTCCCTCACAGAAAGTTATACTTTAAATGGTTATTAGTACAGTGTATGACTTCTAAAATACTGTTTCATGATAGTTTTGAGATAAAACACATTTCTGGTAAAATAGTGGTATATCTGATAAAATATTTATTTTAGCTATTTTGCCCTAAACCGCCCTGCATATACCGCTTCACCTTGAATAGATTTTAAAAATAAACATTTTAGTCCAATTTTTTTATTTTATTTTTATTATTATCTCAAAACTATCATTAAAAATGTCTCAGGCATCTTAGGCAGCACATTAATAACGATTTCACGTAATAATTTTCCGTGAGGAAGCTTTAAGGGGCATTCAACTCTCCAGACGTCTGGTTCTTATCACCACCACCTCTTTAGAACGGAGAATTTCACACCAAACCACTCTGAATGACTTTGTTTACAAAGTTTTAATTATTGATACAGAAAATTTTAAAATCGGTGGAATTGCCCTTTACGATGTCGCTGGAACGCTTAGCCAGTAGTGTGCAGAATTCTGGCCACCAGTGTTCGTACCTGCGTTCCAGTTAGAACGCTAAAGTCCGGAACACTCAAACCAAACATTCTGCAACGAACACCTAAAATTCTGTTTGTAGTCTAAAGAATGGCCACAAAGAGGACCGGCAAACGGAAGGAACCCGAACGAAAGAGGAGAAAACGTTTCAGATTCCTCTTACAGCCAAACAGGGAGGGCAAACCAACTTCCACCATCAACAACTACACGTAGCTACCTAGAATCCTAGATTTAATAACTGTTAAGACTCATTGTAAGTGCACTAACAAGGATGCATATTGGAACGCAACCGGGGTTTGAGCTTTCCCGGGAAACGGTCAAATGCCGGAGAACAGAACATTCTGTACTCAATAGAAAGCTGTAGAGATTTGAGATTACAAACGCTCAACAAATATTACACAAGGATTAAATATAATATATGTGAATTATGTTTACGATAGATACGTTTACAGCAAGAATCACCGTCTGTAAGAGATTTTAGGTGAAATGCGAAACGTTGGTATCTGAGCGGTGTTTGGTGACATCTAGTGGCGAGTGCACGTTAAAATCATGAGTGTACGATCCAGGGTAAGAGCTGCAGACAACCAACTATTTTAGATCACAACTCTCTGAAATGCAGCGTCTTCAGGGCAAACTTTCAACTAGCTTGATAGTCATTTGCTGATGAGACAGACCTAATTGGAAGAAACGATCCAAATGTATTTTTTCTAGATAATGCTACATTTAATTGCTATAATTGTTCATAAGGCTTTTTTATGGAAGCCTGTTTCTGCCACTGGAAAAAATATATAGCCTTTTAGTAAGTCAAGGTTTTCCATAATTGTGACTTAGTGTCTCATAATTATGACATAGCATCTCATTGTTATGATTTCTATCTCATAATAATGAAATGAGTATCTATAATTATGACTCAGCATCTCACTATAATGAAATTTTGTCTCATAATTATGATTTAATTTAAAAGACTTGCTTTTTTTTAGGTATGACTTAATATCTCATAAGTATGACTTACCATCTCATAATTATGACGTAGTATCTGATAATAATTATAATTATGGCTTACTCATGATAAGATATTAAGTCATAGTAAACAGAATAATGAGATACTGTTAGAAAGAATCTCGTATGAGATGCTAAGTCATACTTATGAGATTTGAAGTCATAATAATGAAATGCTGCATCATAATTATGAGATACTAAGTCATACTCATGAGCTTATTAGTCATAATTTTAAGATTGAATTTTATTATGAGGTACTAAATCATAATTACAAGAAAGTAAGTCACATTTACAAGATGGTAAGTCATAATTATGAAATAGTAAGTCATTATTATGAGATACTAAGTCATAAGTATTACATGCTAAGTCATACTTATGAGATATTAAGTCGTAATTATGAGATTGTAGGTCATACTTATGACATAGTAAGTCATTATTACTTGGTACTAAGTCACAATTATAAGATTTTAAATCATAACTATGGGATTAAATCTCATTATTGTGAGATGTTAAGTCATAATTATGCAATAGAATTTCAATATTATGAGATAGCACGTCATAATAATGAGATGCTATGTGATAATTATGAGATAGTTATACTCTTAAGCTAATTAGTCATAATTTTAAGATTGAATCTTATTATGCGATACTAAGTTGTAATTACGAGATGGTAAGTCATAATCATGAGATATTAAGTTGTAATGAGATTGTAAGTCATAAATATGACAAGGAAAGTCATTATTATGAGATACTAAGTCATAATTATGACATGCTAAGTCATACTTATGATATAATAAGTCGTACTTATTAGATTGTAGGTAATAATTATGACATAGTAAGTCATTATTACTCGACTCTAAGTCATAATTATAAGACTTTAAATCATAAAATGAGATGCTAAATCATAATAATGCAATAGAATTTCATTATTATAAAATAGCAAGTCACAATAATAAGATGCTATGTCAGAATTGTGAGATACTAAGTCATAATTATGGGAAACTTTCTCAGTATTAACACTTACTGAATGGCTATATATTTTTTCTAGTGGTGAAAATGGACTTCCATAGCTTTTATAATGATAACAGTAGGTAATAGTCACCCCCCCCAACCTCCAAGTAAGCAGTGGTTTCAGGTGAGGCGTGTTTATCAGGGATTCTCCTCGCTCTGCTGCAGTGCTTTATCATGGAAGGTGCTCAGATCTTGTATCATATGTAATCTGACCTTTCATTGTTCCTCTACAGATACGTGAGGATGGAAACGTCTATCACAGGCACTCACGGTAATAAATGTAGGTGAGAGCACGGCACCGAGAGGACAGTTCGGTGACCTTTATCCTCAGTACGACAGCACATAGCCGCAGCGTCAGGAGTGACGGAATGTGCTGAGTCGCTGTCGAAAATTCTTGTAAAATTTCTCTCTTTTAAGGTACGGAGATGATGCTATCAAATTTCCCCTTCAGAGTCTTGCTCTCCCTCCATCTCTGATTCCCCTCCCTCTCCCTCCTTCTCTCTCTCTCTCTCTCTCCCCCCTCCTTCGCTCCACATCTTGAAACACACACTGTTTGAAATGGGGCCAGAGCGTGTTCAGAGACAGGAGGGAGCCTTGTGAAAAGTGGGTCACCTTCCGGCTCTATCCGGACTCCCTGCCATACTGCAGCTAGTCTCTCCTGAGAGGTCTCCATTATCTCCCCCCGCACACATACGCACATATACACACACGTAAGTATAACAACGTAGTTTAAATATCAGATGCATTTGAGCTGTCAAGCTCCCTTTGGTGTCTCTCTCTCTCGCTCTCTCTCTGTCTCACGCTCACTCACGCTCTTGGCATTCTCCTCACTCTTTTCCCAGTCTATCACCAGAGGCCTCTTTAGAATTTGGCAGGAAACTCTGAGAGCCCCTCAAATGGAACAGAGAGTGTGTGTGTAAGACAGAGAGAGGGGAAAAAAGGGAATTCACATACATTGACACAGACACACATGCAGGATTTGACATTGGCTGTAGGCCTTCCACACATTACACTGTTTTAAACATTTACACATAGGTAAAAGGGGAATCCCATAGACACTTCAAAATTTCTTCATAATTCAGTGGCTGAGATCTAAACTAAGTTATTCAGAATGGTTTGATGTGGAATTTTTCATTGTAGAGAAACGTACTGATTAATTTCTATACAGTTGTGGTGACAGTAATAAGGGTTTGCTATGCCTACAACACAAATATACCCATTTCATTTACTATCCTAAATGACCGGTAAACCTACATGTGTCCACATGTCTTCTGAGTTTTTATATGTTATGGTGGTAAATTTGACAACACCTTGCATTTATCTCTCCATCATGAATGGATTTAAAAAAAAAAACTTTTTTGGGCCAAAACTTTCTCAAAACTCTTGTAAAATAATGTCCCAGACATCAGCGTGCTCTAACTACTTAATTTAATAACTTTCTGTGAGGGACCTATTAGAAGCATCAAACGCCTCAGACATCTGGCTCCTATCTCCACCACTGTTAACAATTACAATTAAAATTTTTAGGGCTTTTGCAGACACTCTTATCCAGAGCAAACTTAAATTTAACCATCTTACAGATGAACGTAGGCGAATGTAGCGTTAGAAGTCTTGCCCAAAGACTCTTACTGCTGTAGCATGGTGTGCTCGCCCGAGCGGGGAATCGAACCCCAGTCTGGGTTCACAGAGGGCAGCGGCATTATCCATTGTGGCATCCCAACAATTCTGACTGAGGAAGTTTCTCTAGAAGGGTGCATTTTCACATCAAACCACTCTGAATGACTTTGTTAATGATGAAATTATGCAGAAATATAAAAAATCGTTAGAATTTCCTTTTAACAGCCCCATAAGTGAATAAGATTACAAGTATAATGTTTACTCATTACATGCACTATTCAGAACTGTATGTGGACCTTAACAGAGTGCATGTGTTTGTTTAGTTTCAGCACCAGTGCGTCCCGGGACATCATAAAGAAAGCAGAGAAACCCTGACCTTTAACCTGATACCACATCTGCCATTCCCCACTGAGTGCCAACGGTGTCAACATGCACCACCACTGGAGCTGATCTGGGGTCAGTAGATGAGATTTCATACATAACAACCACTATCAGGTTATGGGTCAGATGAGCTGATGTGTAAACAGACTGTAAAAAGCTGAAGGGATTTA